TTGTATTATTCCTCATGATTAGTGTCAACGTTCTCGTCATTTTTGTCTTCTTTTTTTCTATCGAAATTCAACACACACACACATATACAATCATAATCAATCAATCAGTAAGAACACATATGTTTGTCTGGAAGATTAAAAGTTCAATTAACCTGTACACATCTGAATGGCCTTGTGTATGCCATCTAACACATGGACCTTTAAATGGAGAGAAGAAAAGTTTACTTTACCTACGGATGGAATTCTATATACTAATCGAACGGAAATGAGCTAGCCATCAACACTATCTTCTTCCCACTATACTTTATTGTGTGGCAAGACTTGGTCTCAATAACTATCGTTTAACGAAACAATTAGCCGTCTTGCACAACTCTTTATGCAATCTCTGTTTACAATTAGCAACTGTTAGGGTAGATTATTAATGATGAATCTGTGATCACTTATGATGATTAACAACATGCAGATCGGACCATCCAAGAATTTTTCTACAGGCATATATAACAGGATTGCCACCTGAGGTGCCATAATCAACGCGTTTTTCCATCTTATTGGTATTGATTGTGGCGCCTTAGGTGGCAATCCTTATATGCAATGAAAGCTACTTTATGAATTCGTGAGTGTTTTTGTAAAATTTCTTTTCTTTTATCCTTCACTATTTCAAGGTTGTTCTAGGCAATATTCAATAATGTGAATGATCACGATACACAAAGGAATTGTGTGTTCCATTAGATATAGATGAGTTGTCGGCCCACGTTTCTATTGTGAAAGAGAATGCGTTTACCTTTCATCACCATCGCGAAATAGAAACTAGTTAACAATTATAAACATTTCATATTGTTTACAATCAAAAAAAAAAGAGCCTGCGATTAAAATTATTTCAAAGACACAATAAAAACATGCAAACGGAGACATTAATACATCATGTCACACTCACATTATTCTAGTAAAAATTAATTAACATTTGCAATCATTCGAGAGCGACAAAAAAAAAAACAGTTGTCACTAAATTATTTTTAATTCATTGAACTGTACATATTTATTATCTCTAAGAAACAAGGTAAGAATTATTCTAGTCTAAAAATAATCGTTTCGAAGTATATTTTATTACAAACTACTTAACATTTAGTATCGTCTATAGTAATAATGTTCACTCCATCTTTTTCATTGATTCCTGAAACTATTAACTTTTTATCAAAGGCTAATTTTAACGGTCATTCAACATATCAATATGTTCTTTTCAAAAAAATTTTAAAATAACGAAAATATATCACATGGTCACATTTTTCAAAATCGATCTCATTAGAAGTATTAATGAGATCATATTGTTCTAACGTTTTTCTTTCAAAAGTTTTATTCTTCAAGACACCTTCTTATTTGACTTATAATAATTTAAGAGATAATAACTATCATTTAAACAAATAACAACTTGTTTTCTGGTTCAGCATAAAATGATAATTAAATATCATTTACGTGTATTTATTGTCGTTCGTAGGGAAAACTTCTAGATAAGAAAATGATATTAAAAGAGCCAATTTATAACACATATTCTTTCAATTTATAAATAAGATTGATTTCGAACTTGTCATAATCTATATGAAAACAAATTACTTATATCTAAATTGGCAAAAATTTCTATATCTATCTACATATCAAGGTAATATGATCATGACATCATGTGTTTTATATTGAACTTGACATGACGATGTCATCAAATTATTCAATATAAATATCAATTTTCTCCAAACTATATACAATTAGGCAGTATATAGAAGAAATAATTTCATCATTTTCACACAAACAACTAACTATCGATTATTCATTGAATAAAAAATAATTCTGTTAGAAAGTATTAAATAACATCATCACCTCATATGACACATAAAAACGTGTGAAGATATGAGAATTTATATTTTTTTTTGTGATCATAGAGTTCAACACTAATTTATTTTATATAGAACATGTCGAGATCTAGAACAGTGAGGTTTTTGAGAATAAAACGTTAGGTTAAAATGAAAATCCTCAATTTCCAATTAAAACAGATATAAACCAGTCTATACTAGTATTATTTTTTCAAAATTTTCATTTTAATTAATGTCTCTATATACAGAACATAGGGGGGGAATAACAGTATATCTAATCTTACCTTCACATAATAAATGCTATTCCATCATAAACTTCATATCTGTCAAAAAAACTGATTAGAATCATTTCCTATTAGTATCAAATAAATCTACCATTTTTATTATCAGAAACTATTGCATAATAGCGAACCAATATTGATGAAGTATCCTACATTTTAATCCTAATAACAGAATCGTTAAAATTGCGCAACATGTTTTCACACACAGACATACACACACACACACACTAAAAGCATTAAAATTAATTAATGACACATTAGATTGATTAATAGAGATGGTACTTAACTATTACTATTACTCGTTAAAGTAACACAATGTTAAGATTAAATTGCCACCCATGGTGATGACGCGTTATCTTTCCCTTTTTTTTTTGTTGCATGTACTACTGTACATATGCCAGTTTTAGATATTTGAGACTGTCTAACGACTATACACAAAAGTGTAGAATTTTACCTGAAAATGTGCATGATTTTGTTGATAACAGTAATCCACGTCGATTTGTCAAACTTTCTAATGAACGTGTTATGTTAAACCGATCGACAAGTGCTGAGAACATTTTCTTAAAATTTTAAAACAGTAACACACTTCAGTTTTTCTTCCTGGATATGATTAGAAAAACATTGTTCATTTTCGTGTCTATATAAGTATTGAACGATCAAATGAGCCATAGAACAATAGAGAAATCAATTACTATTATTTAAAAAACATTATCTTCTATGTTCTTGTTTTTCTCTTCTTTCTGTCTTACTACACCGATACGAAAAAAAGAAATGAATTTTTGTCACCTCTTTTGATTAATCATTTATGAACTATGTATCATACGCGGTACAATAAGAAGAACATAATAGAAAAAAAAGAGAAAACGTTCACAATTTATTAAAGTGTTTTTGTCCATAGTTATGTTTGTAATCTATGTACATCTATGAGCAAATGACGGAAATCCGTCTCTCTCTCTCTCTGTCTCTCTCTGTGCCAATACAAATAACAATGTAATAGTGAGAAGATCAAGGTAAAAAAATACCGATTCGAGAGAAAACCGGATATATTAGGCGATGCTAACTTTTCTATTTGAAAGACTGTACATGTCTACGTTTATTAATTAGATTTCGTCTCTATACTTAAACAGTTGGCAGTATATATTTTTATTATGAACTTTTGCTCTTAAAATCTGTTTAGCAGTTTCTCGTTTTTTAATCCTTTCTTTCTTCTGTATATCCTATCTATCTAAATCATAATTTTTTTTGTTTTTTCTAAATTGTTCGTTCTATGTTTGGACAATGATTATATAGATCAGTTTTAAAACATCGAACATAGAGAAAACAATAGTCTTTTCTTTTTTTTTATCTCTAAAAAAACATTTTTAACTTGATCATTTACCAATTAATGCATAGAATAATATAAATAGAGAGAGAGGGAGAGAGAGATAAGATCCATTGATGTGTACATCTATAACAAAAGAAAGATAAAATTCTGTTTTCTAAACATAAAAACTTCAAAATTTCAACAAGTTTTGAGAATATAATACTATACATACAATAGACTGACGTATTTTGTACTCAACTGCTATTTTTTTGTCGATTAAACTTAATGATGTTGTATTAAAAGAATGACTTATCAAATTCTTTTTCACTTAGATTTTTTTAATGAATTTTATTGTGGACGTCTCAAATATCGATGGAGCATTGACAGTAACGTGACCATGTGCTACTATAACACAAAAATAAAATGCGTAGAACTTTCTGGAAACATGTCATAGAGAGTCCCTTAACGTCACATTCTAAGAGAAAATAGTTTTTAATTAGATTTAAGTAGTGTACAAAAGTTTTAGTGTCAGGAGTAATAACGATGTTTAATTTTTAAAAATTTGTCCATTATCTAATATCGTAGAAAATTTGCTTAACTTATTCGAATTTTCAAATGGATAAGTTTAGTTTTTAATATTTTCGAATGATACACTTCAGTTTTTAAGAGTCAAATTAAATGTTTTTTTAAAAAATTTAGAATTTTTCGAATGTTGATTGGGAAATGAATTTCTGTTCAGAGTGTAACAAAAATATGCCTTTTTCTAAGTAGAACACAGACACATTCTTAACCCTAATCCGCCCACCTGGGGTCATGCGGATCCCAGACGAAAACGAGTGCTTCGAAGATATGTCTTACTGCTCTGTCAGGTAACTAATGAGTGGATACAATCAGTCCATATTGATAGTACATCCTATTATCATTCAGTTGAATATAAATTGAAGGGGTAAGATATAACCGTTGTGTTCCGACAGCAATGAAATCGGTAGAGTTTGGGTATATTATAGGTGGTCGGATCAGGATTAACTGTTAAATAAAAATGGAGAAAAACGTTCTTAGTATGGGCACGGACAAAGGTGTCTGGTTTTCAATGTTTCACTTATAGAGTTATAAATATTGATTATAGGACTACATTTTGAGCATATATATATATATATATGTGAATAAATTACATAGCCGGTTGGTTGTCGGAGAATGTTTTGCTTGTAAAAGCTATTTCGCTCAACAGATTTTAAATTTCTTTTTACTATTTTGTTTGTTTAGAAATGGTCATTCACTTGTGAAAAAAAGAATTTCCCATCTCAAGTGGATGCCGAGATGTACATCGAACAAGACCAAAACCAGCTGTTTTGGGCTCCATATGGAGAAAGAATCAACTTTTTTCTCTCATTTATTTAAACGAGCATCAACTTTAACATTTATTTTCTACCGAGAATACATGGTAAAAATCCCAACTCTTTAGTTTGCCTAGTTACAGAGACAATCTCATTTTACACCGAAAATGTCTACCGAGATTATTTTGTCTATATTTCGACTTAAATATCGAATTCCAACTCCTCATACACCGTACGATTCGTTAAAACGTGGGCGATTCCTTTGAAATTACAAAAATTTTGTGGGGTCAATCTTTTATTTTAATAAAACGATAAGCATTTTTTTCCTCTGTAATGCCGTTTTCTAAAAATGATAGCACTAAGAATCCGGGTAGTTCTTGAAAAACAATGCATCGGAGCTTTATCAAACTCTAAAGTGTAGGGAAAATATTATATTTATACATAATCGGCATAGCTCTATTAAACGTATGACTCAGTATTTTTTTATTCGAAACTTTTTTTCTCAAACCATACAATGGCTATGCAATTCATTTAATCATGTATATACGCTAGAAAATGAAATGAATTCAACGACAATAGTTTCAAAAACCTTGAAATATTTTTACAAAAAAATATGAGCAATGAATGAACAATGTGGGATTCACTGTATCTTACTTTGTCATCAGAACTAAAGAAGAGAAGATATAATGAGAAGATAGAACGAGAAGATATAATGTCGATCTCTTGAGTTGTGAAGATCAATATAATACATAAAAAGAACAACTTTTTGATCTTGTATTTCTGATTGAATACTGATTATAAACTATTATAATAAAATAAATGACTTTTTCTTGCCTTTTGTAAGGTATGAATGCTATCAATTTTTACATGGTTTGAATTAATATTATAAAATCACATTGAAAATAATCTGTAAACTCTGACCTTTGAGATAATATGGTATCTTATAGTCGAGCCATTCCACGTAACTCAAATCTATATCAAAAATTAAAAATAAATAAATCCGTGTGTGTGACAATAATTAGATCCGATATGTCCGTCCCTATAGATAGATATATGAGAATTATTACCTCATTTTTAATCTCTCAATCAACTAGTTTATCACAGCAATTAAATTTGTTATGACAAAAAAACTGAAAACAAAATTATGATCAATATCTTGGTTAAAACTTTGTTTCTTTTCGTATACGTGATTTATTATTAGATATATCATGCGATTGTTATCATTTATCTACACTTAATCAAAATAAATACTAGTGTAGTGACACATTTACAATAAAAATAAACTCACAGTAAAAAACGAAAGAAGCTTAGCATAAACAGTAAATGTGTGTAGGTTTATGTATGGAAATACGAGTTATGCACGATTTTATACAAAAAAAGAAAAGTATAAAATGACACTTTTTCTCTAGGACTTTATAGTTATCAATATATCTTATTTCATCCGTTTTTCTAAAAGAATTCTAACGGATCGATTTTATTCTAGTTTTTTCAAAACTACAATGTGTCACCGAAATGTATTTTATTTCTCTTCATATTTAAACTATCTAGAAATTGAAGTTATTCGACTAGTATCCGTAACCTTTTAGATCTATAATCTGACATGAATAGAGAATGAATCGATCGCTTAACTAAAAATTTCCCATTAATTTCTCATATTTGAATCGTGATTAAGATGGAATGATTAAACTAAGAAATTAACCACTACTAACTCTATCATCAAATCTGACTTGACTAATCAAGCGTGAATAACATAAAGACATATAAATTCCCATGGGTTTTCACAGACTGCCGAATGTTCATGTTAGACTATTTAGAAATAATCTTGATTGGTACTATGAATACGACAAAAAACTATCGAATATTAGCAAACGATCTTAAATTTTATTTTTATTACCTGTTTTTAATTTTGACATTGTTTTAAATGGTTCACGTAATACCCAGATTTGTTCATTATCATCAATATTATTAATATTTAAATTGTTGATATTTTGTTGTTGATGTTTCACTACATGTGATTGTAAATTAATACTGTCGAATTTCATCATTAAACACAAACGAATGAAATATTGTTTACATTAAAAACTAACAATTTTTATTTCCATATTTAATAATGAAGATGTGATTGTTAAAAATTAGATAAGACAGTTAGAGATTTGATGATTACATCATCCTACATAAGTTCAAATTTATGTTAATAAAAATCAATCTTTATATGCATGTCTATATTTTCTCTTGCCATGATATTATGGTTAAATCTCGAAACAAAAAAGTCATTATGATAGATGATCTGGTTCAATATGTGTGTGTGTGTATGTATATATGAGCAGTTAATAAAAACAAGATGAATATCTTTCTTTCTCTCTCTCTCTCTCTCTCTCTCTCTCTCTCTCTCTACATGTCTATAGAGATATTAGTAATGACGACAAGGTTTTCAAAAACGATGTGAATACCATCATCATATAGAAAGTAAATTAATTAAGTTTTTCTAATGATGTAAAACACGTTGTTATTATAATTATTAACAATAATAGTAGTAAAATGATACACGATAACAGCGATATCAGATTCCATTTTTTTTATTAGTATTATTTTTTTTCTTCTTTATTCTGCTCTTGTATGTGAATGTTAAAAAAAACAACAACTTTTCGAAAAAATATTAATAACGCTTCGTCGACATCAAACAAAGCTATTGATAGTAGGAGTTATTTTTTTTTTTATATTTCCCGGCACCATAATATCTTTCAATGGAATATATATATATAGAGAGAGAGAGAGAAGAGAGAGAAATGTGTATGTACACTTAAATCATACTAATTGAGAGACATGAATAAGGAAAAAAGAGAAGAAAGAAAAGAGAACAGTTATAAATAGGATAAAACTTGTTTCAATAACAGAAAAAATCAGATCGACGACTGGCTATAGATTATTGTCACTATAAATCTCTCATTCTCTATATATTAATGAAAAAATCAAATTAAATCATTTTACTGCGCTGCTACTCCTATCCATAGCTCAACATGATAATGTGTGCTACGATAAAATACGAAGTATGTCAATGATAATAGTCAACGTGAAAGACTTTCATTGATACAAAATCGTCTATTTTTCTTTTTTTTTTATACGTTTCAATATTCTCTATTTTTCCCTCCTTCGGTCATCTTTAGAGCCCTTCGGCATTTGATAGAACAACAAGAAAAAGAAATTTTTCTAAGTTTTTCAAAAAAAAGTGAACCATAGTAGTGAGATTAACGTTATTTTCTCGACGCAAATTATTACTCCAATCGAATTATGTTTTGCCAAAATATTCGAAAATAAAAGAGAAAATAAATATAATAAAATTATTAATTCAAATTTCAATCAAACTTATATTCGTCAATTCACAGACTTAATCGATTTTACAATAAAAAAAACATGATAAATCAATTTAACGTTAACACATTTCAAGGATCTATCATGTCTCTCTTCCTCATTAGATAACATTAAATTCAAATAAATATCTGAGTTTCTTCTCATACTAACTTTAAAAAATTATGCTATTATCTCATTAATTATTAATTATTTGAATTCTCAAAATGCTTTCTTTTTTTTTTAATTGAAGTTCGTGTCTTTTGAACTTCACATTCAGAATATTACTGAACATGTATTTTCTTTTGTGCTACTGCTGCTAAATGAGTCGTTTACATTAACATGTGTTAAAACTAATTTGACTACTGATAAAAGTGGAAGCTACTAATTGCTACGAATTTTTATTGACATCTGTCATTTGAAAAGACAGTTGGTGGCATTTTGTTGAACTATTATTAAAATGCGATAAACGTCTTCTTTATTAGACTGATCTTTCTTTTTTCTTTTTCTCTCTCTCTCTCTCTCTGGATTAAACGGTTTATTTTTCCACTTGACCATGATGGTAGATTTATAAGAGATTGAACAAAAACAGTAACTAATAGTAGTAGTTTCTCAATTACCAATGTTTTTTCCACTTGAATAAAATGATGATGTGCGCATGTTTGCTCATTAGAGAAAACGTAAAAATAGTAGATAGATAGTCATGTACACGAGACGAGAAATATTCTTTTACACTTAGCCTGAGCCGTTTTTCATGTAAGAGTCATTTAATTAAAGAAAAATACTTTTAAGCCCAATGGGTTATCAGAACATAAAAGTAATTATCGTACTCATAATTGCTTTTTAGAAAATCATTCTCCATCAATGATTGAGCAGACTCATGATAGTAATCAGTTACTCGTGCTTCTAGGCACCCAATGTTCTGTAATGAGGTGTACCAACCGCATATTTAGTCCTGAAAAAGAGCGAGATACTGCTTTTGTTCTTTTTGCTAAATAGTTATTTCTAATTTTAACAGAATAATTTCGTTTATATTATTGAAACAACTTTCACTTGCGTGACAAGCTTTTTTAAGAAAAAAAAAAGAAGAAAACTGATATCGACGCCAGTGGGTGTCAGTTTTGTCTGTTATAGAAAACGTGTAAACTTCTCATGGTTTTTTCTTTTTCTCAATGGGAATCATTGGATACGTTTATAGAATAACATGCAAGAAATGGTCAGTTTATAATAAAAGAAAGATTAAAAGTAATAGTATATAGATCATGCAAGAATATTGTCAAGTCTGTATAGTCATTCACAACGATACAAAAATGTTTGTGAATTGTTTTCTATGGAATATGGTCATAAGGGAGAAAACCACATATGTCAAATTATTCGAAACATCGTAAATAGAAAAGGGTATCAATATTTTTTATCACAAAATTAATTAGTAGACAGACAACAAAAAGAATATAAAGAAGTAGAGAACAGTTAGTCAATTAATTTCTGCAAAATATTTCTCACAATATTCTGTTAAATACTGAAGAAAATAAGTTTAATAATAAACCGTTGAGAACCCGTGTAATTTGAACAAGACGGTTTCAATTACACACACATTTCACTGTACAATTCCAATTTAGGCTCCGTGTCTAATATGCAACCATCTCGTTTTTTCATAAAGTTTTATGAGTATAACTTGGTTGCTTTTAGGCGTACAGATTTCGAAACAGTTCCATTCGACGGAGCACAATCTCCTGAAGATGACTGTATAAAACCTTCTTAATCTAGCTAATAAAGTTTTCTGAACGTAGATTTTATTAAACCGTTAAGAACCCGTGTAATGTGAGCGAGACGGTTCCAATTCGATACTCATTTCGCAGCACGGTTCCGATTAGGCTCTGTACCTAATTCGAACCAGAATTTCCCTCTTTCTAGTAAATCTCCCTGAGATTCGTCTCTAATGAGAATTTCGGCATCATTTTTAGATCATTAAACAGCTGAGACTTCCAGCTACGAAAGTCCCCAAATTCGATGAAAATCGCTTCAAAACTTACTCAGATACTAAAGTCAGAAGTTGGACAAAATTTATTTTCGGTTTCAATTCGATACTTTACTCTATTCTTGTTGTTGTCTGTCTCCTATTTAATTTGGTGATCAGAACACATTTTTCTCAACAGAAAACAGATAAGGCAAAAAAGAGGGCTAATCTCCTTTTTAGTATATGAGCTATTTTATATACAACTTGGATTTAGATAGGAAGATAATCTCTGCCTTTCTCTGTAGTTCCATGAGAGAAAGACTTTTCGTTTTACTTTCGCCTCCACGGTCGCATTCGGACTGAATGTACGTTATTAAGTATATGTATCCTTGTTCATGTCCTGGTATACGGTTGAACAACCTCTAGCAAAGAAGTCTTGTATTTAGCTAGTGTCACGAAAGATGTGTTTCCTGAAGTTAAAAAGATAAATCAGCTTTTCGAATTCTCACGAAGTCTCCTGTTTTCCAGCGATTGACTTTTTATCTATTTTATATAAAGTTAATAATTCAATATTTTTATGTTAAAATATGATCACTTAAAAAAATATAATATATATATAGTGATGTACATACACGAATAAAAATGACGAGTTTTGGAGTCGTTTTGTCCCATGACCTGTTTTAATCTGACATTTGTTAATGAATAAGCTCAACGTGTAGATGATAAATACGATAAATATTGTTATTTTACAAGATGAGATCAGTGGTCAATGTGTAAATCTTTCATTTATTACCAATGTATCTAACACCTCATTGCACGGAAGTTATTCCGAATAAAATATTAGAAGATATAACCTGATCTAAAAATGTATAAAAAACAATATCTGCATAGATTCAGCTCTGTCTCTGGGCAAAAAGAGACAGATGAAGAATATCTGCAGTACATCCGACTAGGCATGTGCTAGTTATATAACCGACGTCAGGGCATACAGGAAAATTGTCATCATGCAGTTATTAAGAATCGCTCAGACTTGCGGAACCTCCCATTTTGTAGACAAATGTTTGTTCTATGTATCTGATGAAACAAAAAAGTTTAAAGTTAATTGTGACAAAAATATGAGCATTCTTAAATGTCATAACTGTACGTGGCAACTGGTCACCAGTTACATAACTATTCGTGCCTCTTCTTCCATATGTCTTCCTGCTCTGCCAGATAACTAATTAGTGGATGCAATCAGTTCATATTGATAGTACATTCTATTGTCATTTAGTGGAATATAAATTGAAGGGATAAAATCTAACCGTTGTGTTCAGGCAGCATCCAAATGAAACCGGTAGGATTTGGGCATATTATAAGTGGATCAGCTTTAACGGTTGGCAATGCAGTGAACGAATCACCGGAGACCTCTTTAAACTGAAATTGATTTTTTGGATCAAAACATCACTAGTCTGACGGCCAACGGCAAGTCTTTGATTTTTCAAATATTAGTAAGATTCTCGTTTAAAGAAGTGAAATATCAGTAGCTCGACATGAGCACCCACTTAGAAGCAATGAAGTTAACTGAAAATCTAGCTGATACACATGAGATATTCGCACAGTTCACTTAAAGCAAGCGCACTTCTAGTGCATCTAATCCACAAGAAGTCCAACAGGACTGTATAGGTACATTGAGTCGTGTCTATACAGTAATAGAATGCGATCTTCAGAAAAAAAGACTTTCTCTCCTCCGATAAGAACTATTTT